AAACACCAACTATTTTGTGAAACTCACACCTCACATTCCAGATGTGCATATTGGGTCCAGATGGTTAGGGATCTTGCTACTCTCCTCTATCTTCCTTTCCACTATTTCTACAGCAGCCCTTGGGCATTTTAGGCATGGATGTTTACCATCACCCCTTCCCCACCAGATTTTTTAATTGGAGACACCAGATGTTGGATTATAGAATCTTTCGGATGCAAAGTCAGTGCTCTGACATTAAGTGGGTCTTCGAGTGACACTCAGATCAGCCCAAATCCATTCAACATCCATGACTCATATATCCTAGAGTTAAGGAGAAATTGCTGTGTGGTTTGCCCACCAATATTTTGATCAGCAGTGGGTGTAGTCGATTATGCAAGTTGGGATCTCTGACCACGGTCCAATTCTTCATGGAAGCCCCACTTGCCCTGTTGGCAGAGCAGAAGCCAGTGTCCAGTAATGAGGAACTTATGCTTCCAGAGGTCAACCTTGATGTTCTTCAACTACATCAGGAAAGGCTGCTCCTTTCCCCAAAAGTGCACCCGTTTTCTTTCTCTCTCGTTCAGACACAGAGACACATAGAATTTTTTGATGCCTAAATGGTCGTAACAGTTTACTGTGCCTTCACTAAGGAAGGCAACCACCGAAACAGGTAGGTAGGAGAAGGAACAGCTCAGGTTACTTCCGTCAACCATTCCGTCAACCAAGTGCATCTAGAAAGGCAGTTCAGTCAACGATAATGATTCTTTCGCGGCTGCTGGGACTTCTTTGTGTTTTCTTTTGCCTGAGCTGGACTCAGCCAATCCTCTCTTCTCAAAACCAGACCCTTGATCCCTGGGGAAACACTCTTGACTTTCTACAGAAAGCCCCAGTAGAACATGTAGTGCAGTCCAGAAGCAGCCGCATGGTCAGGACGATGTGACAAGTGGAAGGAAGGAGAGGACAGCCTGAGGCCTGGCACAAACATCTGCCAGCTGGAATCAGAGGTCAACGCAAGGGGGGAAAGAGATAATATGAGATAGGCTTGGCTGGTTGCATAGGGTGAAGTGAGGACACTGTCTGGAGATGTCAGATCAGAGAAAGAGATCGAAGCAGCTTTGCTATAAACCCCTGGAAGGGCTTCTGTGCAAAGATGCCTCACTCTTCCTTCATTAAGGTCACTGCCTGGAGAGACTTCATGCTGCGTAATATTTATTCAGCTCGTAAAAAAAAATTAGCAGACTATGCCATGGCTCTCTAAACAGACTTCAAGCCATTCTCTTGCAAACACCCATTGTTTCTTGGCAGGCCACTTAAAGCTGGACTCGTCAGTCTTCTAAAACATCATTCTAGCCCATGGATAAGCTCCAGCTTTGCTTCCAGACCCCTTTTTGTAGACATTTGTGTCTTGATAACACGCCAGGCCAGACAGATTCAAAAAGAAAAGGGCAATTCTTAATTCCTCGTTTGCCTCTTTTAATTCTGGCCTTTAGGACTACATGGTGTCCTTCCAGGCCCAGCTGCCTGGAGGATGATATGCCTGTAGAATGTGTGGGAAAAAAATTAGGAGCACAGGTGATGGGGCAGAAAACTGTCAAGCAGACATACGTGGTAGAGCCCCTTTGCAGAAACAGCGAAACCAAGAAAGTGCAGTTTGGTTCGCTAGGTGAGGAGAAGGGAGAGCAGGCTGCAGTTCTTCCCCATCAGAAAGAGGAGACCCGAGGCCCTTCCAATATTTTGGGATGCCATTTCCATAATCCCCGGTGTTTAGGTTTATGGGCACTGAATCCCGCAATGTCTAGAAAACATCAAGTTATCAATCCCTAACCATAATCTCAGCTCCCTGTTTTTTATTTCCATCTGGAAGTGTGTGCAATGAGGTAGTTCTCATAGAAGGGAAGGGAAGGAAAGAAAAGGGAAGGGAAGGGAAGGAAAGGAAAGGAAAGGAAAGGAAAGGAAGGAAGGAAAGGAAAGAAAGGAAAGGAAAGGAAAGGAAAAGGAAGGAAAGAGAAGGGAAGGGAAGGGAAAGGGAAGGGAAGGGAAGGGAAGGGAAGGGAAGGGAAAGGGAAGGGAAGGAAAGGGAAGGGAAGGGAAGGAAAGAGAAGGGAAGGGAAGGGAAGGGAAAGGGAAGGGAAAGAAAAGTAAATGAAATGAAATGAAATGAAAGGAAAGGAAAGGAAAGGAAAGGAAGAAAGTATTTAAATGCTATAGAAGAAGGCATCTATGACAAACCAATGAAAATAGAACAATGAAACTTGTCCAGTGTCTCTCAGTGCTGTAGGAATATAATTTCCCCTCCCACGCAGCATCAAGAAACCGCATTCTGAAATTAAAGCAAATCATCAAAATACATTGCGGTCCTATTTTTCATCTTGCCTAATGTCTCATCTTGCATCTCTACTGAATGAATCTGAGCACTGTGGCAGAGCAATGAGGAAGGGAGGCAGGCTCCTAAGAAACAGAAGCAGTGAGAGATGAGGATTGGGGATAGAAGGTAAGACCATGGGAATAAGAAGAGGTTATTACGGGTACAGGACACAGTTGAGAGTTGTGCGTTAGTTAGAAGAAGGAAAATTATGAAGAGCTCCTAATTTCCAACTCTTCATTGCAGGGCCTTCTGGAGATGCCTTGGCGTCTACATTTTCAAGTCTCTCTGCAGCCACAAAGTAAAGCTAGTGATCTAAGCTACTGTTTGCTCGCTTTTTAAATGATGGCTGAGATGCTTGAAGGGTTTATGACGGGTTATTGAATTCTGTGCAATAATGCGCACATACGTTGGCAGGAAATACAACAGGAACATCACTACCACATCACAGTGATCTCGAATTTTGATATCTGGGCACAAGCTCATTGATGATGAGGATGCCTTCTCCTTTATTCCTTTGGACTGACCCAATTTTTTTAAACAAAAAACAAAAAACAAACCCACCCTCGCTCTAAAACAATGAGCCATTTCAGTCATGCAACTTGAAGGAAATTGATCTTTGTAGCTGACCTTACAGGTTTTAGGAGTGACAAATTTAGCAGCAATCATAAAAGCCTTGACCATTGCTGTAGAGGAAACCTTGCAAGGGCACCTGCCCATAGATTCTAGAACATCAAATACCGTGGTATGATGGCTACTTTTTTTTTTGTAACAATGGCTTCCCACCAAAAACTTCCGAAGGCATTACAATTGATCTGCCAACATCTCAGCCAACTTGTCCCTGCATTGTGTGACAGACCCTGAGGGCAAACTCAATATAAACCTGAATAATATCATGCTCTCCAATGTTTTTCTTTGACCACCCCCCCTCTAAAGCAAGAGAATCCACGTTTCCCCCAAGGAAGAAAAGGCCCAAATGTTGAGCATACTGAACAAAGAAGGAAACCAAGCTTTCTTCCGTATGGCAGTTGGTGCCATTTTGCCACCGGGTGCTGAATGATCTGGTATGACTTTTCTGGAAGCCACGGCAATGGGGTGCAGTCTAAAGCAGATTTCCCCAGTTTGGGGTGTACAGTTAGGGGATTACAGTTCCCATCTTTTTGTATATCACCAGTGGGCATTCCATGGGATGCCTGTCATTTCAGGTATCCAAGCCACGCCAAGAAATTCAGCAGTTAAAATGGCCTATGTTATGCAGTGCAATATTTAATGATTTAGTGGGGTAGGATTAAATTAAAGGCCAAACCACCTCTGGGAGATTTCCTGGATACATTTTGGACCCTTGCAATGCCCTCCCCCTCCAATAGGCTGAGGTTTAGTCTGCCCCTCCTGGGACATAATTGAATCAGCTGACTTGCTTCGACTAGGATGGGAAGCTCTAGAGGAGGAAGCAGCAGGGATGCCTCATCCCAGAAAAAAGAAGGACAACCAACCTCAGATCAAATGATCTGAACCAGATGATGGGACAAATAGATGGAAGAATCCTTTCGGATACCACCAGTCTGGAGATGCTAACTTTACCAAATACACTGTTGGTTCCAAGATTCTCCTAAACTAAAATCCCTCCTCTTACACTTCCTGCATTGGGTTGAGTTGGGTTGGGTTGGGTTGGGTTGAGTTGGGTACTGGCCTCTTTTCTTCTACTAAAATCCCAGGCAGAGTCTGCTGTGACCCAAAGACGTGAATCTGTTGCATCTCAAAAGCCAACATCCTGAAGTTATTCTAGCTTTTAGGCCAGCACCACACCACCCATTTCTGAATAAAATGCATTCCTTACAGCTCTTGGACTTTCCACTTGTTTACAAAATTCCTTGCCCAGAAGGCACTTCTGGGTAGGAAGAAGAGTTAGTCTGCTATCACCATCAGCAGCAGCGGGCTCCCACTGTGTGTAAAAGTGCACAAACAAAGCTTCAGTTAGCCAAGCTTTCCCAACACCTTCACGCTGGGTGCATATAGTAGGTCTACGTGGGTCTTATTTCTATTCATTCAAACTGGGTTTGGAAGAAAGTGGGCTGGACTCAGAGAGCACCACTGCTCTCCTCATGCCTCTGTATGTTCAGTGTAACATCTGCCAAAGGAAACTGATTTACATGCAGCAGTTTATGGGCCAATCCTCACTTACAGCCACTGTGCTTGAGTATACATGATTTGGAAGGAACATGGCAAATGACAAAAATTTGGGGCTAGGGCCATTACATATGGGCTAAGTCCCTTTTCCATGTGTTTGTTAATGTGCAAGAGGAACATTTGCAGAGTGCTAAATTCATTCTGTCCCCCCTCCCCCATGTACAATTGTTATGGGGTAATAGGGGACCCAGATCTGTATTTTCTAGGCAATGGCTTGGGTTCCAATTTTGTTGGGTTCCAATTCTCCCCAGATGATAGGTTATAGACCCGATGGGGGGGCCCTAGGATTGCTGTCAAAACCCTTGTTGCACTTTGGATTCCCAGGCAGTTGAGATGGCACGACCCATCTCCATACCCTGCCATGGTACCCTTCCTCTCGTCAGGAACAAACAAGACATGCCAACTCCGTTGGAGACAATTCAGTAGTGCTATCAAAAAAAATAAAATAAAAATAAAATAAAATTAAGTTTTAAAAATCTGGTCCATGAAATATCACCCACACTCCTTGAACAGGGTGCACCATGAGTGGTGGACTTTCAGTAAGAGAGAGGCTAGCAGGCTGCCGACTGCCTCCAAACACACATGAAGTCATTGCCCCGTCTAGTTGCACAATTGCTCCAGAGATTCAGCTGGAAAAGACAGGTCTTCTTGGGCCCTCAATGGCAGGTTTTCATTCCTGATACATAGGGGGACTCTTGAGGCCGGCAGTTGCATTCCTGCTGTTCCGGGTAGTCTATAAAGTCTGGGGCAGGAAGACCCGTGACCACCATTAACGATTTGTTCCAAATGGTAAAGGTAGGGCAGACAGGCAGGATGAAAGCAATCTCAAACGTATGGAGATGGAGCGAGTTGGCAGGGTCGTAGAAGGAGAAGACATTATTGTCATAGTCCAGGAGGACGCCCAAGCGCTTCATTTGGGGGTGAACGTCAAGCAGCATCTCCTTGTTGTTATGCCGCACTACAAAACTGTTGTTGCAGCGGGAGAAAACCCAGGAGGAGGAGTTCTTGCCGACCCACTCGTTCTTAGGGGCTGATTTGTAGGCAATGCCAATGGCGTACCTGGAAAAACAGGAAGGGGAAGCAAAAGTCAACTTACAGGAGATCAGCTGAAATGAGGCAAAATGGAATGGAACGTATGCACCTGTAGCAGCAGGTAGGGGCGAGTTCAGAGCCTTCCTAGAAAGAGGCCCAGATCAAGAGAATATGCAGACCCAAACTGGATGGGGCAGAGGGGGGGGGGAAGTTCAAGGTAGCCACCCTAGAATCTCTCAAGATTTATCTAGTAGGCTAGAAGACTATTGCTTTAGTCCGGCAAGATTCTGTCCATTAAGTACAAGCAAATAAAGGATTGGACTCAAATATGTTTCACTGCCTCATCTCGAAGTTTGAGCTTGACATGGAAAGACAGCCTCCCTTCATCAAGTCTGATAGACTGACTTAAATGTTGGACGTCCACAGGGTTCAAACCTTCATTCAAATAGACCACACATTAGCCAGCTTTATTTTTGTGTGCCTTCCAAGCCAGTCTTGGCTCCCAGCAACTGAACAGACCAATCCATGCAGGGTTTTTTTAAAAAACAGAAGTGGTTTGCCTTTGTCATTCTTCTTCCCAGAGCTGACAAGGAAGGACTGCCCCAAGGGAGGACTAGAATTCCCTGTCTCCCAGTTTCTAGTCTGATAATGTTGGCCACTACATCCAAGTAACTCTCAACTGGCTCTGTGCTGACTGCTGTTTCTTTGAGTTGAGTCTCTCTCACAGAATTCTTTTCCAGATCCTAATGAGGAGCGTCCACCCTCACTTTATGGGAGCAAAAAAAGTAAATCTTGGAAGCAAAGTCTACTTTTACTTCCCCCAGACTTTTAAATACCCAACCCAATTTTTTTCCACGGCTTTGTGCTTCTCATTCTACAGCCCTTTTACGTTGTGCTGGTGACTTCAAAGTCCCTGCGTTCGTTCCGCTCTCACTGTGGCGTTTTGTTAACTGCCATGGGAATTTCTACATCGATCAAACAAAATGAAGTATAGTTTGGTATGCTGGTAGAGGTGAGTCTGTGTGTGGGTGTGGGTGGGTGTTTGTGTGTAAGTGTGGGGGGAGGGGGGAGGGAGGGAGGGAGGACAGAGAATTCTCTCGTCACAAAAAAGTAATTGCCCAGCTATGCCCATCAACCTCTAGTTGTTGTTAAAGCAGGTGTGTAGAATTCTTAATTTCATGCTGCGTCAAATGCAAATGATGGGAAGACGGTGAAGTGTGCTCTCCTATTTCACAGTCCAGCTATTATGGTGCCTTTCACAATCTTCAGCTCTTGCCTTGCTAAGTTGGGTCTTTCTTTATAGGCCCTTGGCACAGAGGGCCCCCCCCCCCACACCTTTCTCATCCACCGCATACTGTACATCAGTTGAAGCAGACATTGCTCTTGAAAAGGATTCTATTTTTATAACAGAGATCCTACAAAATTGGGATTTTTGTTGTGAGATGACACTCTGTCTCTTTGTTCTGCTTTCTTCCTGCAGCCTATCCTTCAGTACTGTGTTGTTTAGCCACGTAACATGATTGCCTGATGGCATCGGACCCGGATACCTTCGAGACCGCCTCCTGCCGCAGATTACCTCCCATCGACCTGTACGCTCCCATAGAGTGGGTCTCTTCAGGGTGCT